TACCACTCACTAAACAATCCAATCTTAGCTTTCACCTTGATATCGACCAAAAACCGCTAATTGTCATACTGACTGTATTCGGTTGATTTGTTGTGATGTATGTCTCAAAATATTCTATTCCTTGAAAATACAACTCATCGTGTTTAAAACCAAATGATGATCGGCATTTAAGATTGTCTCTGAAACTCATTTTTAGATAAATAAGCAGATACAAATCTCAATAGTTACGAAAGTTTACATGGAGTTTTTCATAAGCAACTATGATGCATTATCAGATGAGTATTAAAATACGTCTTGTATGATACCAGGTATATATATATATATATATATATATATAATTTCCATAGAATTGCTTCTCAAATAAAATTTTTAGAATTCAATAAACTAAACAGTTAAGGTGACTGAATGTTATTTTGTTTAGCTAATAGTTGGAATAGAAATCTATGTTAATAATATCATCCTCTCTAATCTATACGGTAACAACAATAGAGGTCGACTAAAACGTAAGTAATTCTACCATTCTTTTATTAATTTTTGTAAGGTGAGATTATTGGCAAAAATATTAAAGATATCGAGTTCGGTTAGGTATTCTTCAGGTATTTGCTAATTATTTGTGTAGTTCAAGTTAAAACCTATGAGATCCATGCAATTCAGCTGATAACAGTTCAATTTTACTTGTATATCATGAAAAGCATCATCAACGAAAGATAATATGGCGTAATATTATGTATATTTACCTTTTTCAAAAAGAGCAGATTCATTCAAACTATTGGAAATTTTGTTTACATATTAGGTTCCTGCTTTTTGGACCAATATTTTTTGTTTTTATCACATACAGCTTTTGGTCGCTTTTAAGTTCCCAACCAAATTCACATTTTTTTTGTAATCATTTAATTGACAGTCTAACGATCGATCTACCCACATTCATTTGAAAAGCGGCTCCACATTCCAAGCAAGTAACCATGGTAAAAGAATGTGTCGCTTCGTAAACAAGTTTAAGAAAAGTTGCAAGATTAATTAATTATTCTGTATTCAATGACTGACTGTATAAATTGACATTCTCAAGTTAATAGTAATATAACAGTTGACTTGTTTGTATCAGATAATTGAAATGAAAGTCTAAAATGAATATAATACAAATATTTTAGGTCAAATTGTCTGGTGTGATGTATATTTAATAATGCGACAATATATTTAGCAAAAGTGTGATGGAGAATCTAATTTACAAGAATTTAGGTGGTAAAGTTGATTATTAATTCACAGTTTTAGCTATCTACTACATTCCTATCAAGCCATTAGTTATAAGTACTGAAAACAGCTTAGTTGGTCACACTATCGAACTACAATCAATTTATCCATAAAATGTATGCCATAAAAAATAGTGAACAATAGCTTAGCAACCATTTTTTTTTCATAAACTAAATTCATACAAAAACATTGTTGATAGTAACAACTTGCAATTCTCATTTATAGTTCATCTGATCACACCATATAATTTTATACTCATCTTTTAATTAAGATTGGTATACATTTTCTTTTAAGTCATGAGGTCAAATAGCTTATAGTAAACTTCTTTTTTAGTTTAATTAATACAAGTGACCTTGATCAATTTTACAATCTCAACAGATACATTTATTACAAAAAAGCCAAAGGAATTAATTTCTTCTTTAAGGCCATTTGTCATTGTTGTTTCTTTTAAAACGGATCACGCATAGGTGATATGAAATCATGCCTACGATTGCTGTTTTATTCTTAAAAAAATGTAATTCGTTTTTGTAATACTTCAATAGAGTGTAATTATTGATACTGTGAGTGTGTCTGTATTATTGTATCTAAGAGATAATCTATTCTTTCTTTAAATAAAATAGACAATTCTCCTTTTTTTTAAAAAAAAAAACGCCCTGTCTATTATCCTTATGAATAATAATTATTAGGTGACTGACAGAAAACGGATAGAGGTGAAAGAAAAGGGAAAATAAGGGTTATCACCATGAGAGGGAAGTTTCTTATCCTATAAATATTAATTTTTACAGTTAATTATACTGTTACTACCTATTATTATACTGAATTCACTTCAGCAAGTGATTTTTTCTATGTATTTTATGGTATTCATCAATCAACAAATGTGGAATAAACTGATCAGCTTAACAGAGTAATGAGTATGTGATAACTGAGCATAATCCACATACTCAGATTTGTACAAGATGATGATCAACGAAGGTGAAAAAAATTGTTCATTTTAGTAAGATTTGAATTGTTGATCTCTTGGTTACAATTTTAGTGGATTACAAAGCTAGGTATTACTGTTCTTTATTTAATTCATTCGAGAGAATGTGGTGCGATTGAATACCTCCAAATCATTGTGTCGTCTGTACTTCTTAATTACTTTTGAGTTGAATATGTTGAGTGAGTAATTGATAATTAGATTTTCTTCCTCAACTTTCAGGATAACATGCAAATGATCTAATTGTTGGTAGTATTAATTCTTTCACTACTTAACATTTATCGTAAATTTAGTGAGTTTACCTGTAAGTGAAATCAGTTTGTTAAGTAGTGACTAAACGAAGATTTATGTGAATCTAAATGGCGATCTATTCACTCAGATGATTTCAGAATTCAAAGAACATCTACATGGAATAAAAAGTTTGCGATCGATTTGTTCAGGATGGTATGCATTATTATTTTGTATAATTAGTTTATGAAGTGTATAATAGTATAATAGATGTAGGGAAACAATTTCATTAAAATAGTGAATCACTGTAAATACTATTTCAAATTGACAGCACATATGTATATCATTAATTATTTACTAACAAAGCAATATTTACTAGCAAAATCATCAAGGTAAGTGGGATAAGTACAGTTTTAATCAGATTTTTACCAGTATGCTGTGATCAGGAACTCAAAAGCCTAATCGATGATATAATCGTATAAACTACTATTTCTTAAATAACGGAAAATCTACGGTGTATATAGTATATCACGGTTTTATGAATAATAATAAGATTAAAGTTTACTTGAAACGTAAATTTTAGTAAATGTTATCTTTGCTTTATACTCAATGAATGTGTCTAAAAGTACTCAGCTTTTACTTAAACTAGATTATATTATATGTTTATCATTATACGGTTACCAGATTTTCAGTTTAAGCAATAATGAATTATTAAGGATTTGAAGTTTAGTATAAAAATGATAATCATAACTTTAAATCAGTACAGTAATACGAACAAAGTGTTGTTTGATATGACGGAAAGAAAAGTCAATTTTCGGTTGATCTACTCATTATGGGTTTTGTTCAAGTTTACTTCCGTTTTCATTCAGTGTATTGATTACTCAATGTAGTATTTGTTTTATTTTATCGTATGATATTTTATTCTGTATAATATGCGATATTTTTGTATTCCATTGACATGAACTATGTTCAGTATGTGATTTGTTATAACTCTAAATATTTTTCATATATGTGATTTCAGAGATTGAAATCATGAGTCAGTTGAAGCTAGACGACCATGGAAAACCTGGAAGCACTGGAAGGCCGTTTCGTCCTAGTATGGGACTTCTCAGCAGTGCGCATCCACGATCCCGTACCCCGCGGGATTCGAATCCAGGACCTACTGGTTTCGCGCGCGAGCAACTAACCATTAGACCACTGAGCCGGCAACCGACGGTGTTAATCTCTAAGTTCAACCACGTGGATGCGCACTGCTGGGGAGCCCCATACTAAGACGAAACGGCCTTCCAGTGCTTCCAGGTTTTCCATGGTAGTCTAGCTTCAACTGACTCATGATTTCAATCTGTGAAATTTCTAAAATCTCCAAAAACCCTTTCTGATATGTGATTTCATCCTAATTATTAATCAAAATGGATGTACAACAATATATAAATGAGTGAATTTTCTTCTCGAGTTGTCGTCGTCGTCATCGTGTTTTGGGTTAATAAATCATCACTTATACCGGTCTTTGTGTTCTCACTTTCGCGTCGTGGGAATTGCAGAGGTCCCTCGTTCCGAGTATAAGTGATAAGCGTTTACGACATTACAATCAGCGACGTCCAGATACAAAAGTAGCATTAAAAGAGCCAAGACAATAAGCATTCAAACGACAAGTTAACCTTGTTCAATCGAATTACATCTATAAAATTCAATGATTTTTAAAGTAACTTATCCATCCTAAAACCAGGTCATACATTTTTACTTACTGTTTGAGCCAGAATTAAACAAATGTCTTTTATGTTTTCTGATTTGTAAAAAAAGTCATTTTGTTTATTAGGATCATTGTCAAATCATTAGTAGTTAGCTAAATATCTTATTGACTGATTTTTAATTCATGAAAAAAACTTGTATATTTTTTAAAAGAAGAATTTCTAGATTGATAAATAGCATTATTATTGTTGAAATAGGCATGATGATAATATTGAATATTAGAAGGTTATACACTTTATAGAAATGATTAGTTCCTTCGAATTCAAGTTTACATATTTTCTTGTTGAGTATGTATAGACTTACTTACGCCTGTTACTCCTCATAAAGGACCATAGGCCTCCCACCAGGACTCTCCTTCTAACTCTGTCCTGGGCAAACTTTTACAAGTGTTCACTGTTGCTATTCGTCCTTTTCATGTCTGCTTCCATTTCCCGACGTAGTGTGTTCTTCGGCCTTCCTCTTTTCCGCTTCCCTTCAGGATTCCGAGTTAGGGCTTGCCTAGTGATGCAGTTTGGTGACCTCCGTAATTTATGTCCTATCCATTTCCAACGTCTTTTTCTAATTTCCTCTTCATCTGGAAGCTGGTTTGTTCTCTTTCACAGTAGACTGTTAGCGATGGTATCCGGCCAACGGATATTGAGTATCTTGAGTAGACAACTGATTAGAAATACTTGTACCTTTTTGATGGTGGTTGTACTAGTTGTCCAAGTTTCAACTCCATAAAATAGATCTGTCTTGACATTCGTATTCAACATTCTGAAACTGATGTTGACTCATAGACAGTTGTTTTGAATTCCATATGTTCTTCAACTGTAGAACTGTGGCCCTTAGCTTACCAGTCTTCGCCTGTACATCTGCAGCAGATCCTCCTTGTTCATCGATGATGCTTCCCAGGTATGTGAAGGATTGTACATCTCCCAGAGTTTCGCCATCAAGTGTGATTGGATTGCTGTTCTCCGTGTGGCAGTTGGGGATCTTGCTTTTACCCTTGTGTATGCTGAGGCTTAGTGATTCAGATGCTGCTGCTACACTACTTGTCTTCATCTTCATTTGTTTGCGTGTATGGGATAGAAGAGCCAGGTCATCTGCAAAGTCCAACTCGTCTAGTTGATTCCGGGTTGTCCATTGTGTTCCGCGCTTTCCCCCGTACGTCAAAGTCTTCATAACCCAGTTAACCACCAGAAGAAAGAGGAAAGGGCGGGAGTAGACAGCCTTGTCTGACTCCTGTCCTTAATTGGAATGCATCTGTCAGCTGCCCTCCATATACGACTTTGCATTGTAGTCCTACGCATGATTTCTGGATAGTGTTGAAAATTTCGGGTACTCCATAATGTCGAAGAAGTTTCCATAATGTTCTTCTGTCCACACTGTCAAACGCCTTCTCATAGTCAATGACGTTGATGTATGGTGACGAGTTCCATTCAATCGATTGTTCAACGATGACCCGTAGTGTTGCTATTTGGTCTATGCACAACTGATCCTTCCTGAATTCAATCTGTTGTTCTTGAAGTTAGGCGTCTACAGAATCCTTCACTTGGTTCAGTAACACTCTGTTGAAAACTTTTCGTGTTATCGATAGTAGTGTGATGCCTCTGTAGTTCTCAAATTTGCTCAGATAACCTTTCTTTGGTATCTTGATGAGGTGTTTTTCTTTCCAATCTGTCTGTGGTACTTGTTTTTCCTCCCAAATCTTCCTGAATAGAAAGTAGAGCATGCTTTCAGTTACTTCTCTGTCTGACTTCAGTGCTCCGGCTGGCATAGTGTCAGGTTCACCTGCTTCTCCACTCTTGATTTGTCTGATAGCCATACTGGTTTCGATCGTTGGTGGAGTGACGTCTATAGAAAGATCTGTGTGTGCTGCTTCGATATCCGGTGGATTCAATGAAGCTGGTCTATTCAAGAGTTCCTCGAAATATTCTACCCATATGTTACTCTGTTCTTGAATTGCATTGACTGTCTTGCCGTCTTTGTCCTTGATTGGTCTCTTTAGTTTACTAAATTTCCCTGTCAGTTTCTTCGTTGTCATATAGTTGTTTCATATTTCCTTGTATTGCAGCTTTTTCCTCTACCGTTGCTAGGTCTTCCAGATACTTCTGAATGTCAGCTCTAATGCTCCTCTTCACTTGCTTGTTTGCTTCTATGTACTTAGATTGTGCCTTGACTTTCTCCGTTCGTGTTCGGCTGTTGTTAATTGCTGTCTTCTTGTTCTTCCTTCCTTGAATATTGTTGAGGGTTTCAATGGAGAAATATTCCTTATGATGATGCTTGTTGCGGCTCAGCACTTTCTGACACGTTAAAGTTAGTGCTTCTTTGATCCCTTCAAAGTCGTCGCTCATAATAGATTCTGTAAGGCTGAGAACCTGTTGTTGAGAGTTATCTTGAATTCGTTGATTTTGTTAGTATCACGTAAAGAGGCTGTATTGAACCTTTTTACTGCTGTTTCCCCAGCTGCCCGGTATTTCCTTAGCTTCAGTTTCATCTTGGCAACCACCAGGTGGTGATCTGAAGCTATGTCAGCTCCCCTACTGGTTCTAACGTCTTTTATTGTCCTTCTGAATATTTTAGTGATGCAAATATAATCGATCTGATTATGTATGGTGTGGTCCGGTGAGAACCATGTAGCTTTGCATATGCGTTTGTGTGGGAATATTATGCCACCCATAAACAATTTGTTGAATGCGTATAAATTTGCAAATCCCTCGCCATTTTCGTTTCTTTCTCTTAGTCCATGTCGTCTCATGATATCTTCATAACCGTCGTTGTCCATTCTGACTTTGGCGTTAAGGTGTCCTATCAAAATGATCAAGGTTTTTCCTGAGCACTTCTCTATGATTGATTAAAGCCTCTCATATGACTGATCTTTATTGTCATCGTTGCTATCATTAATGGGTGCATAACACTGGATAACATTCATCGTCATTCGCTTCTTCTTTACTTTGAATGATGTCTTGATGGTCCCGGATCGATAAGATTCCTAAACTACAGGTACATTTTGTGCTTCTTAGGACAGCATGAGAGCGACTCCTTACGTGTGCAGAACACTTTCCCCTTCGTGACCAGAGTACAGCATCATCTCTCCCGTATCTAGTCTTTTCTATCCAGCCTGGATTCAATGTGTTTCATTGATTCCGAGTACTGCCAAGTTGTGTCTCCTCATTTCCACAGCAATTTGATTGATCCTTCCAGTCTCCCACATTGTTCGGACGTTTCATATACCTATAAAAATTGTTGCTCTGTGTTGGGGACGGTATATCCCAAAAATTCATATTTGTAGTTTTATCATATCGACTAACTTATCGATTAAATGTTTAAATATTTGAATGGAAGTCAGTTGACGAACTTATCGTTTATATATTTGAATGCCTGTCAATTGATGAACTTAATGAGTAATGTTTAAAAACATTTTACTATGACAATATCGATTAAATATATTTGTATAGATACGTTTTAAATTGTGTTTGTGCGCTCGCTCGTTTTCTGGCTGTTTGTAGTATATATTTTCCATACCAAGCTTGGACTTCTCCTTCTAGATAGCGGGGCTGGGACACATCAATAGCTGGATTACTGGTCTTTAGTTACTGAGTCTTGTTCTTGTTCCCAGATTAAGTGAACACGTGAAGCTTCAACCCTAACACTCTGGTTGTTAGATAGGAGCATCAGCCTCGTGACTCCCGAAAACTCTTGGCTTTCATCTTGAGGTATCACAATTCTTACTTGAACTCGGAAGGTAGAGTTTAAATGGTTTAATTTGTTTAATCTGGTTGGTTTGTTTAGAAAGATTTTTTTCGACGGGATGGGGTTGCCAACTTTATGCCAAACCCTCATCCTTTACCCAAGGATCAGCAGTAACTCTAGAAAAGGTACATGGGGAGTTAATAACCTCATAATTGTTATTATTTCAACCTATTGATTATCAATAAGGATAATATCTTAAATCATGGTCATTTTCAATAAATCACAGGCACAGACTACATTAATACAATGAAACACAATGATATTAAATTGACTTGTAAGGTTTGTAAATTTAGATTACTTCAAACACAAGCTAATCCAATTCACTATATGAGAATATGAGCCACCGTAAATTTAAAATCAACAGAAGTTTCTCCTACAATTCGTTACCAGGATATAATCACGTTTAACTGAAAGATATTAAGAATTAATTCATGTTTTGACACTAACTAAATTATGATTTAGCATAAGTTATTTTTAAATTGTCGAAATTCACAGATCTGATCTCAACCATTTTTAAAAAGAGTTCCTTTTAATGATCTTTCTTAAAATAAAGTTTAGAAAAAATATTCTAGAATAAGATGCTGGTATATTTGTCTTCAAATCTATAACGATGATTTTATTCCCTACACATAGATTAATTTAGTCTCTTTTTTGTAGTTATGCAATAAACCGAATTATCTGTGCTTTCAATGTTTTTCAAATTCGTTTACATGTTGAGAATATGTACATCAACATTGAATCATAGGGGGTATAGAAAAAAATTTAGGTGAGAAAAAAAATACTTATAACCGTTTTCAGTTACCACAGAGAACAATTTAAGTGGGTATAGTAATAATAATAATAGGGTTGTAGTATTTGCATTCTAAGCTTAATACCCGTCAATAAATAATATCATTGAATTCATCATATTTATCAAACTAATCACTAATCACTGATCAATTCACAGAATTGAAAACCGTTACACTTGTTTATAAAAGACAATTCTAATGAGAAAAACCATCAACATTTAGGTTGAGATCGATAATTATCAAGTGTAGATTGTGAAAACATTACCTTTTGATGTTTGTAACTATATACTAAGAGTAAATAAATGTCTTTTATAATTTGACTACGTAAAACGCTAAATTATCTCTTAGTAAAACAAAAATAAATGAAACAAATTCAAATATATAATTCCTTTAGGCAAAAAATAACTCTGTTTGTGGTCATATCATTAAAGATAGGGGAAAATACACCGTATAATCAAAAAGAAAAGAACTAAAATATCATTCATTATTCATAAAATATCGTTTTTTTAATGTTTTATTACAGTTTAGATTAAAAACAATCTGTCATTTAGAACAAATAGTGATTATTATCAGTATAGAGATTTGTGAAGAATGTAGTATTTTCTCAGATTGACTCGCTATTTCAACTAGGAATATATTACAATCTCCACAAATCTCCATATTGATAACAACCATGTACTCAATAATGACAAGATTCAAGATTTAACTCCTAATGTTCTAGTTAAAAGATGTAACCAATGGAGTTCAATCCGTGTCAGTTGTGAGACAGTTTTCTACCTCAGACAATGAATAAAGGGTTGTGCAAGATAATGGATGGATTGATTGAAGTTTAACATTACCATCGTTGAATGTGGGTTGAGTGATCTGGAAGTTAAGTGTTCTCGTACGAGATCAAGGCTATTGAGTTCGTATCGCTTCGTGCGCGATCGTGGATGTGCACTGCTAATAATCCTCATTCTAGAATGAAATGATCGTTCAACGCTTCCAGGATTTCAATGGTGGCCTAGCTTAGATCTACTCCTGAAATAGTGATTAAATAAGCGTTCTGTTCACAAATATATTTATCCTTTCATAATTTTGTTGAGTAAGTTTACACTTTTTTGATGATAAAAGGAAATAATCTGTCTCACCTATCAGATACAATGGATCGGCGTTAAAATATTTAATGTAGATGTATGTTTGAAAATTTATTGATGTTACTGTGAGAATTGTAATTACTGAAAAGAATGTGAGCAGTCGGTGTCATTGAAATGGGTCTACTGATTTTTGTATTTACATTCTAGATAAATTTTGTTCATGGCTAGAAATTGTGAATAAAAGTTAGATTACTATTAATCATTCAGAAATAGAGGTCTTTAGAAGTATGTAGACTATAAAACTGGTCTAGAAATGAAGTCATCATAACAAGTTTAAATAGATAATCAATAATTCTGTAACCACTGAAAACTATCTCAAATTAATCTTAACAATCTAATGATAAATTTATTTTAATGCTTATTCAAGAAGCGACTACCTTCCATAAACGATTCGTGAATCCACATCATAGGTTTCATTTGGACCATATTTCTTAAGATCGTGTGATAATGAG